AATTTTGGGAGTTAGCAAATTGTGAAGGCTATACTGCAATGGTCAGCTTTGGAAGGCAAGTCAAAATTAAAATCCCATCTTCTTTGCTATAAAGTACAGAAGAGACTTCAGATTGTCACTTTCTCTGGTCTAACCTATCTCATAAGGTGATAATTGGAATAACTGAGCCAAGTATATTAGCTCAAATTTAGTGAACAAAGAAACTACTAATATGAATAACAATGAGGGTGAAAATAATTAAGGATTTTAGGTTTTAAAATGTTACAAAAATATTTATTGCTTTCATGCTTGAAATATTGATCTCTTTCCTTGAGATTCCCTCCGTTACTTTGATCGCTCATTCCCCTCCATAACCCCGACAAAATGCAGTGCCTGCATTTTCTGTGTCGCATGAGAAAAGCACATCTTCCTTCCCCCATCCTTACCACTTTCTACGGAGGGACAATCGAGAGCACCCTGTCATGGAGCATTACAGTCTGGTTTGGAAGCATCACTGCTTCAGACAGGAAGGCGGTGCAGAGAGTGGTGAGGATGGCTGAAAAAATTATTGGCAGTTCCCTCCCTTCCAGGACATAGTACATAAGCATTGCTTGAGCAGGGTCCGGAAGATTGTCTAGGACACTACACACCCTCTTCACGATCTGTTTTCTTTGTTACCTTCTGGGAGGAAGGGGCTCTGTGGTATCCGAAGCAGAACATCCAGATTCGGTCACAGTTTCGTTCCATACAGTATTAACCTTGTGAACTCTAAAGCTTCCTCTTTCCGTAACATATTCAAGATGGTCAGTGATTAATATTTATATGTTATTTATATGTAAGGGTGTAGGTCTATACGTATGTTGTTTATAGTATGTTTAAATGTGTGTTATGTATGTGTACACTTGAGAGCAAGCAACTAAATTTCATTTTTAATATGTGCCATTGTGCTCACAGTAAAAAAATGACAATAAAGGTTATCTGTCTGTCTTATCTATCCTATCCTATCCTATCCTATCCTATCCTATCCTATCTATCTATCTATCTATCTATCTATCTATCTATCTATCTATCTATCTATCTATCTATCTATCTATCTATCTATCTATCTATCTATCTATCTATCTATCTATCTATCTATCTATCTCATCTATGGCTCTTTAATTTTCCAGTGCAAAAATCCAGATGGCTCTTTGTATAGTACAGACAAGTACTACGGGTTAACTATAGGGAGCCCCATTTTTTCCCCAAGGAAAAAATAAAAGGCCATCTGTGGGTTAGAAGGCAACTCCTTCTACAGCTATGCTTGGCAAAAATTAATCTCTTGTTTATCAACTGTGGTTGCCACCTTATCAACTCTTTTCAGAGTTATGTGTGGTCAGCGTCTTATCAGTCTTGGGCAACATGACTCATTTTGAACTGGAGATAGAAAACTCCCGTTAGACTACCCGATTACTTTATTTGACTGTCTTAGGCTTGCCTTATGAGAGTCATATCTGAGGATGTGACAGTTTACATACCACACAGTCTGGTACACACTTAACTCAGAAATAAGCCCTTTGTGTTCAATGAGATTTAGGATTAGGGTTGATCTGGGTGACCAATTGCCCTGCAAGGACAGGAGTGCATGGTGTCCACCTCTGCTCCCCCCCCCAATCCACCCACTGGGGAGGCAATCTCTGTCAACTTTTTTTTGCTACATATGAAAAATTTTATCTGCTTGTTCCAAGACAAGTGGCATTTCCCACATTGCTTGCTGCACTACATTTCATTTTCTCCCTTCCTATCCACTACTGTGTGCTATGGCAAGGATAGCCCCTCCCTCTGGTCACTGGTTGTTGTGGTTTTCCTCCTTATCCTGGGCTGTTAGGCTCTGCCCTCTTCTGAAGGGATTTTGATCAGTGAAATGCAGGAATCTTTTTTTTTAATGTTCACTAACAGGCATTCCTTCCCTTCCCTCTCTCCCTTGCCAGGTTCATTGATGAAATGGTGGGTTTTAAAAGGTGGAATGGACAAGAGTTCTGCCAGACTACTGCAGGTTCTTACAGCTCACAGCTGAAAATATTCAAATGCATTATTAAAAAGCTACAATCCATATTACAGAATACAGAATAACAGAGTTGGAAGGGACCTTGGAGGTCATCTAGTCCAACCCCCTGCTCAGGCAGGAAGCCCTATACCATTTCAGACAAATGGCTGTTCAATCTCTTCTTAAAAACTTCCAGCGTTGGAGCACTCACATCAGAACATTTAGACAACGACACTGCATTTTCTCAGGTGGCAGTTGGCATTCAGATTCTCACAAAGAACGAGAAACAGCAGAATAGCGATGCTAACATGGAAAACAGAATTTACCATTGACCCAGATGTTTATTTTGTCCCCACATCAATTTCAGCAGCACTGTGCAGGCTCCTATACATACACATGTAAGATGAGACATGCCTTCATGTGCACTTCTTCTAATGTGATATATAATGTGATACAGATTCTACGTAGAACAAATGGGACGCACTTTTTGCAAAAGAATGAATGGACACAAGTTTGACATCAGGAGTCAGAACAATGACAAAGTTATATCACAGCATTTCAATCTCTGTGCCAGACCTTACAATGACCATCTTGGGGGGGGGGGGGAAGAGACTAACAGCACCAGTCAGCAAAAAACTGCTGACTCAAAGGTTTCAGACAATCTCAGAAGATTTCAACAAACAAAAAGGGTTTTTGACACATTATAAGTGTTAGTTGATAAGATATGTATACTTTGTCTCACAAACAACCTGCCTCTGCATAGCTAACCTGTTGTCCCCTCACTCCCACCCCCTACCATGCTTTATCCCAATTTAAAATCAGTCTAGCGCTCAGTGCATCTAATAAAATGAGTTGCAGCTCTTGAAAGTTAGTGCCTCTTAATAAAATGTGTTGGTCAGAAAGAATATTGCCAATTTCTTGTAGCCAAAGCTCAAGAATATTGCTAGTTTCTTAAAGCCCAAGGGACAGAAAGAACAGAAAAATGGTGCTCTAGTCTAATCTGATTTCTTTTTTTAACCAATAGATTCACTGGATAGAAAAGAGTGATGTATGAGAGAAAGTCAATAGAGGGAGATGTGGATTAAAGTCTACATGTCCTGAGAGACCTACCCACAAAAAGGAAAGCAATTAACACTTGTTTTCCCAGAACAAGTAGAAGAGGTAAAGAACCAGAAGAATCCCTTAGTAGGTGTACAATACCAGGCCAAAGAGAAGAAAGGGGGTTGACATCTGGAAACGGACTTTTAAACTAGTTAATCTCTATTTATCCCATTGGTGCCCCTCTTTCTCCTCTCTGCATATTTGTGGGGAAGAAAAAAAGAGGCAGAAGCAACAGAGATGGAATGGGTGGAGTGGCATTCTTTTGAGACCACTCTAGTGTCTTAGCTTTGCATCCTGAGGCTGGAAAAATGAGTTAAAATTGATACTTGGTTCATCTTCCCTCTCTCTCACATGCGTGCAGAGACACATGTGCATAAACAAACACTTGAACTTCACAACTCTCAGAATTCTGACTGGGGAATTGTGGGAAGTGAAATCCAGACATCCTAAAATGGGTAAAGTTGAGAAACGCTACGCCAGACCAAGGTTTAGATCAGGGGTAGTCAACCTTGGCTCTTTTATGACTCGTGGACTTCAATTCCCAGAATTCCTGAGCCAGCTTAGCTGGCTCAGGAATTCTGGGAGTTGAAGTCCACGAGTCATAAAAGAGCCAAGGTTGACTACCCCTGGTTTAGATCAATTGTAATCCTGGGTTTCACACTGCAGTTGAGGAACTCATCCAGAATCACAATTCTTTAACTGGGTTTGGGTGTTAAAATAACCCTAATCACAACACCTATAGGCACATCTATAAATTAAGTCCCAATGACTGGATTAGCACATAACATTAAGCCACAGTACTCTATGCTTTATAATGTCTTATTAAGTTAACCAAAATTGATTGGGTTCTCCCAACACACTGAGCCAAAAGTGCCCTAGTCTAACATACAGTTAACAACAGGATTGAATCCACTAAAATACAGAAAATCAGAACAAAGTTTAATTCCGTCTTCTTTGGTTGAATTGGGAGAAAGTTGAGTGTTTTTAATCATATTACGCACATTAACGTAAAATACTAATGTCAGATTATGCTGCTCCCAACAAATATTTTGTGATCAACCACTCTTAACAATAGTTGTGCTGTCTATTCTTTAAATGCAACTCAGGAAAATATTTTATCTTATCGAAGTGAACTTCACAAAAGCTTCTGTTGTTTTGCGTTTATTAGAGAGAGTTGCATTTGTGTAATGAAAATAAAGGGATGTTTGTGCATGCGCTTGTGTGAACATGTATGCATGTGGACCCCTGTGCTAAGCATTCAGTTAATTTAAATAGTAGATGTGACCCCCCTCTATGTAACTTTGGAGTTATGCCTGGTTGGCATAATGAATATCTAATAGTTTCCATTTTTTAAATTTCTCTTCTAGAAGAATTTGACCACAATAACTCCCTCTATGTCTTTCTGTCTTTCCTCCTCCCTCCCTCCCTTTCCACCCTTGCTTGTTTTTCTCGGCCTCTTCCTCTCCCCCCTCTTTTTCCTCTGGAATGGGCAGCTTCCCAACTAGCTAGCAGAAAATAAAGAAATATTCAAACTCTCTCCATAACACCACCACCCAGGCCTTGGTTACCATGGATCCCCCAATGCCCTTCTCAGATTGGTCTTCTGCCCCTCCCAGCCACCTGTCGGGGGTTCATATAACCCGCCCCTCGCTGTCCCTAAGCTCAGGCTCCCTTGGGATCCTTCTAGACAACAGGTACCTGTGAAGGAGAACAATACAATAACAAACAGGTTGTCGGAGCCACCAAGAAAAGATAGCACTGGATTTATCCTTCTTTCCCCTTTAGGGGTTCTTCACCTTTCAGACTTTGGTCTATCCTTCTCCAACCCAGCTCCTAAAGTGACACCTCACAGAATATTATTTGTGGATGACCCTACATCAAAAATCGACTCTCGGAAGCTATAGATTGCCATCTTCGAAGCTGCTTTCCATACGCAGGTAACCCAAGAAGGCCTCTTCTATAACAGTTCTGCTCGCTAATCTACTAAAGAGAGTTAATTTTAACGAAAAGCTCCGTAGGTTTCTTTGTCTTGGACAGCCACGTGAGTGCAATATTCTTTTAGGATTTATTTATTAGGAGTTTGCTTTCGGGTGAAAACATAGACTTCTGATGTTGCGTATCACCATTGAGAGGGAGTATTTTCTGAATTCTCGTCTTCATTGATTTCTACCAAAAACAGCTTGTCTCCTGGTGTTTCTGTCCATAATCCATCATCTTTGGCCTTCCCAGAGGGCAGCAGAAGAAAGAAAAAAAAGAGGTGTGCATTTTATAGCCAAATTGAAGGATAGCCATAATGGCATCTGTGGGGCTAGAGATCATGGCTATGGCTCTGTGCATCTTTGGCTGGTTGGGGACTATCCTTTCATGTGCATTGCCCATGTGGAAGGTTACAGCATTCATCGGAAACAACATTGTTGTGGCACAGACAATCTGGGAGGGACTGTGGATGAATTGTGTGGTACAGAGTACTGGCCAGATGCAGTGCAAGATCTATGATTCCATGCTAGCCCTGCCTCAAGATGTCCAAGCTGCCCGGGCCCTCATGGTTATCTCTGTGGTGCTTGCTGTCCTGGCACTGTTGGTGAGTATTGTTGGAGCCAAGTGTACCAACTGCGTGGAGGAAGAAGGTGCCAAGGCACGTATTGTCATTACCTCAGGTGCCTTCTTTATTGTCTCAGGACTTCTCGCACTTATTCCTGTCTGCTGGTCTGCCAACTCCATCATCCGTGACTTTTACAATCCAATTGTGGCTGAACCCCTCAAAAGGGAACTGGGGGCTGCTCTCTATGTTGGTTGGGCAGCTTCTGCCTTACTGCTCCTTGGAGGATCACTCCTGTGCTGCTCCTGCCCACCACGGGACAACCGCTACCCAGGCCGTATTGCCTATTCTGTTCCAGCCAGATCTACTGCTCCACCAGGCAGTACAATTGACAAGAGGGACTATGTATGAGCAGTTATTGTGGTGAAATTTGCCAGATATTAGAAGACCCAAACTAGGACAGGCATTATTGGCCCAAGGACCTCTGGAACCAGAAGATAGGACAACCTTATCAGTTTGGGTTCAGCTATGATATCTGGTAATACTGGAATGTTGGTGCATGTATATATGTGTGTGTATGTGTGGCTATACAAGCATAATGAATGATGTGGAGTGACTAACTGAGGAAATGTGAACAAATAAAAGGATGTGTGAGAGAACGAACAAATCTTTTTCAATGAGATGAATACATCAGCAAACAAAAGTGGAATGCAGGAACAAATGGGGCAGCTGAACAAACAAAGGCAGGTTTAGGACAAGTCTATGGATAGGTTAACAGTGCATAACATGTGCATGGAGGTGAAAAATAAGCTAGATGAAGAAGAATAGAAACAGCATGATAGCAATGGCCTTGCCATATGGAAAATGAAGTATTGTAGCTATCCTGGGCCAAAGTAGTGGTCTTCTCCTTTTTCCTGTTGTCCCTTCAAAGACTTCAGGCTGTTCCTTCTCTTGGAAGACTGTACTGTGAGGCACAAGGTGTGCCTTAGGTTTCTAAACCAGCTGGATGTCCTCATAAGCAGCCCTGTCAGCGATGATGAAGTATGAGTTAAATTTCCAACCAGTTGACTTTTGAACAGAATGTTGCCATAATGAAAAGTGGTCAGGCAACTGCTGCAGAGAATCTTGGAGGAAAGAGATTATCTGGATCTATTTAAGTCAGGTTACAGGCTGTACAGTATAGTATAGTACAGAACAATCCAGAGACAGCATTGGTTGTACTTGCTGATGATATTTGGTGAAGCTGGGATAGAAGTGGTGCTTTTGATCTTTCAGTGGCTTTCAGTACCAATGATCGTAGTATCCTTCTAGACCAGCTGCAAGGTTTGGGGATGGGAGTCCTCATTTTATAGTGGTTCTCCTCTTGCTCCAGTGGTCAATTCCAGTCAGTGTTTGGGGAGGGGATGTTGCACCCAGAGCTCTTTGTTTATGAGGTGCATCAGGGCTTGATGCTTTCCCCTCTTATTCAGCAACTACATGAAACTGTTAGATAAGGTCATCTGTCAGTATCACCAGTAACAGATGATACCCATCTTGAGCCCAGACTGTCCAGATGATGCTGTCAATGTCCTGTCACAGTGTCTACAGGTTCTTCAGGTCTCGATGAGGAGGAACAAATGGATTCAATCCTGACAAGACAAAATGGACTATATGTATATCCCCCCCACACACACACACACACCCTTGATCTGGAGACTTTCCATGTTTAGTTTTATATGAGACAGTACTCCTCCACTTTAGGCTGTAGGCAACCTGAGAATCACTCTGGATACATAGCTCTTATTCAAAGAGCAGGTAGCAAGCTGTGGCCAGGAGGGTCTTTGCACAGATTTGTCTGTTGCACAAGTTGTAGCTGTACCTAGATTGGGAGGCCCTTTAGATACTCACCTATGCTCTAGAGCAGCGGTTCTCAACCTGTGGGTCGCGACCCCATTTGGGGTCGAACGACCATTTCACAGGGGTCGCCAAACAACGCAGTCCGCCATTTTTTTCCCCTTTTTCCGTAGCTGTGCTACTCCCTCTTATTCTATTGGCTTTTGAAAGCCAATACAATAGACTCTATTCAAGAGACTCTATTCTATTGGCGTTCGAAAGCCAATAGAATCTATTGGCTTTTGAAAGCCAATAGATATCTGAGAGAACTTATCTCAGATTAAGATAACCGAAAGTTTTCGGTTATCCTTAACAGGTCCGACAGAGACGGGACGACTCGGGCGGTTTTCAGGGTCAGACGTTTGCCACGACGTTCAACAGACGTCGATTCCGCTCGAAAGACCTGCAAAGGTGGGGAGGGACGACTCGTTGATGATTTACATAGTAAAAGAGGGCTAGGGGTGGGAGGTGGGAGGCCGGCGGGCGCAGGGAGGGTTGCTGGCGCGCGTGGGGCCCAGCGGGTGCCTTACCTCCCTTGGGCTGGACCAGCTGGTGGCCCAGCCGGTGGTCGCCCTGCGCCCTCGCTGCCACATGCCATGGCCACCCAGGAGCGCCTGGGTCTGCCTGCCACCGCACCGAACATGCGGTGGCCAAGGTAAGGCTAGCGGAGCAGCGGCGGGCGCAGGGAGGGTTGCTGGCGCGCGTGGGGCCCAGCGGGTGCCTTACCTCCCTTGGGCTGGGCCAGCTGGTGGCCCAGCCAGTGGTCGCCCTGCGCCCTCACTGCCACGTGCCATGGCCGCCCAGGAGCACCTGGTCTGCCTGCCGCCGCAACGAACGTGCGGTGACCAAGGTAAGGCTAGCGGAGCAGCGGCGGGTGCAGGGAAGGTTGCTGGCGCACGTGGGGCCTGGCGGGTGCCTTACCTCCCTTGGGCTGGGCCAGTTGGTGGCCCAGCCGGTGGTTGGCCTGCGCCGTCGCTGCTGCTTGCCATGGCCACCCAGGAGCGCCTGGGCTTGCTTCCGTCGCACCGAACGGGTGTCTTGCTCCGCGATTGCCGGCTCTGCACAAGAAGCAGAGTTTCTTTTTCTTTCCTTTTCTTTCTTCTACTCCCCTTTCTCCCCCTCTCCTGTCCCCTCTCCCATTCTTTTCTCTCCTCTCCTTCCCTGGCAACATGGCGGTACAGGAGGGGTGCAGAGAACCTTATGCCGGGCCCCTCTTCTTAGGCTCGCCCGCAACTTCACCGAAAAGACCTCGACCAACGGCGGCGAGATTCGGCTGGCTGAGGGGGCCACTCTGGCTCGAGCAGGAGAGCCATCTCTATGCTCCAGGCATCCAAAGGCTGTGTCGGATCAGCGCGCGAGGGTCGGAGCGTTCTCGGGAAGGGAGGAAGTAAGGAAGGAGGGAGGAAAGGAAGGAAGGAAGGAAGAAGGGCGAGCTCGAGCTCAGCAGATGGCGGGTGGAGCGGAGCAGCAGCAGCAGGATAGGGCGGGGCGGGGCTTCGCGGCACCCACGGGCCAGGCGCTGAGACTGGCAGTTTAGCAGTGACTCCCCTTTGTGTCTGGACTGAGAAAAGGGGAGCCGCTGCCAGTCAGCCAAGCCCAGCTGCCGGAGACGGGGAGGCGATGCGACATGAGAATCCCCCTGCACGAAGCCTTCGCGGGCAGGCTCCCTTCACCCGGAGGGTGGAGGAAGAGCCGGGCAGATGGGCAGCTGAACTCCCCAGTGGGGTGGAGGAAACAGGGCAGGGTTGCGAGTGAGTGTGTGAGGGTGCATGAGGGCGAAAGGGTTTGGCTGCCACGGGAGCGCTTGTCACGGGTTCCCTCTCAAGTTCTGATCGCTGGCGAACCGTGCTCTTGCGAGGGGAGGGAAGAGGGTGGAAGAAGTGGCTCTCCCCTCCCCTCTTCCTGCTGGGGCCACGAAAGGAGGGAGGGGGAAGACAGAAAAAAGTGCATTTTTCCAAGGGCTGCCTAAGAGGAAAGGCCGCTTTGCACCGGGCTGCTCGGAGCCAGGAACTGGGAAACCCTGATTTGCTGCTGCTGCTGCTGCTTTGTAGAAACGCCAGGACTTTCTGCCCATTTCCTTGGTTGGAGTTATTTCCTTTTCCACGTGTGTGTGAGTCACGTGTGGGTCACGTTTGGTCATGCGTGTGGGTCACATGTGGGTCACGTGTGGTTGTGCATGTGGGTCACATGTGGGTCATGTGTGGTCGTGTGTGTGGGTCATGTGTGGTCACGTGGGTGCGTGGGGTCGCGGCATTAGGAAGGTTGCGAACCACTGCTCTAGAGAGCTCATGAATGGACTACTGCAATATGATGCAGATGGGTCTGCCTTTGAAGACCTCTTGGAAGTTATGTTCCAGAATGCAGCAGTGCAGGCAATGATGTTCTAGTTTGCTCATTTATCATTGCTGCTGCGGGAGCTGCACTGATTTCCAGTCTGTTTCCAGATATAATTTAAGGTGTTGATTATTACCTATGAAGCCCTTCATTGGCCTGTTTATTTGAGAATTTTGCCTGTTCTAATAGTTTCTATCCGTCTGGTAAGATTAGACAAAGAGGATGCATTCTAAATCCCTTTAAATAAGCAGTATGGAAAACTAGGAAGTATGTTTTCTCTGTTGCAGTATCTGTCTGCTGCAACAGTATCCCATCCAAAAATCTCTAAGAGTCTCATTGTCTATGGAAATTCTTAGTCATCCAGGTCATGGTTGTCCCAAAGGTGCTTTTTTTCATGAGGCAACTGGACTTTCTTGTTTTTCTTTGAAGACGGTTCGCTTCCCATCCAAGAAGCTTCTTCAGTTCTGGATGGCAGGATTTATACTTCTTGAAGAGAATTGGTTATTTGCAAGAAAAACAACAAAGCCCAGTTGCCTCATGAAAAAAGCACCTTTGGGATAAGGCTCTCATTCTGATGATGTTCCAAAATATTTCGAAGTCTTTGGGGCAGGATGGGTGTAGAGCCCCAACAGTTGTTTTCTTGGTATTTTTTTCTGAATGTACATGGTTATTTTTTGTTATATGGTTTTCTTATTTTTTTTAAAAATGTAAGCTGCTCAGAGTCACCTGGATGTCCCCCTTATATAAACAAACAAACAAACAAATAAATATCCTTTGTCTCAATCAGCAAATTGCTTTGGGTCTACTCAGGCAAATGTACCAAGAGCAGGAGGCTATGAGAATAGACCAAGAAGCAGACAAATTAAATAATGAGAGGAACAGAAAATGACACAGAGAACTGGCTGTTGTATAAATCCTTTTGGCTGCCCTGAAATGAAAGCCATTTTTTGGTCAAAATCTGAACTTACAGAATAAGGAGAGAGACAGAGTTGAAGAAAAATGGTGAATTTCATTCTGAAACGGACACAAGAGGAATGGAATGCATGTCTGACTGAAAGAATCAATCGGGGACTTAATGAATGCAAGGAGACTTGGGAAGAGAAAAGATAACCAACCGAAACCTGCATAAATAACACATGATTTATGAAAGATGTGAATATTGGACAAAGGCCAGAATTACCTGCAAAGATAATGCAGGGGAAAAAAGTCTGAAGGGAGCAAAGAAGCTAGTTTGGATTTAGTAAAAAAGTTGTTTGGAGTGGATGGGGGGTGGTGGGGTGGTGGGAAAGAACTCTGACCCTACAATTGCCTTGGACTGGAGATATTTGCTCTCTGGTTAATAATTAGTGGAGGTTTTGGCTATTCTCAGGGGCCTGGGTAAACAAAGGGGTCTGTTTCTTCCCTGACCATTGATCTTTACCTATTACAACCACCTGCCTCTGACA